TGGACTCTCTTGCTATGATTGCTAAAACTGTCTATAAGCCTTCAAAATTTCAAAATCCTAAAGACTTCAAAGAAAAGAAAAAGTTTAAATGTGACCATTGTGGATATCCACATCCCACAGACAGATGTTACCAGGTCATAGGTTATCCCCCTGATTGGGTAGGTCCTCGTGGTCCTAGAATTCACCCAAACAAGTCTCAAGCTAATTCTGTTTCTACACCTTCTGAACCTTCTGTGCCCTTATCTAATCCCTCTATGACTGACTCCTTGTTACATGAGTTTCTTGAATTCAAAAGATCTATTGAGCAGAAACAGGGCACTGGTAAAACTCCCATGGTTGCCACTGCTCATACAAATCCAACTGCATCCTCTGCAGGTATACATTTAAACAATGTCTCTTCTATCTTAAAATTTTCTAAAACCTCTTGGATTTTGGACACTGGAGCAACTGATCACATGATTTGTGACATATCCTATTTCTCTTCTGCTCCTATTCCCTCAACTGTTAAAATTAATCTTCCCAATGGTCAACATACTGAGGCAAGTCATGTGGGACAGTTGAAACTGGGACCTAATCTTGTACTGCCTCATGTACTGTTTGTACCATCCATTACTTTCAATCTTATTTCTGTATCAAAGTTATGTTCATCCAACAATTGCATTGTCAAATTTGTTTCTTCATACTGCATCTTGCAGGACCTGAGAACCCTCAAAATGATTGGTTTTGCTGACATGAAGGATGGTCTATACCATCTTTCCTTATCTCATACTGATAATGCTGTTGTCTCTAATTTTCAGACTATTGATCATACTGTAAATGCTTCAATTTCTGCAGAGACTTGTACAAATTCTAATTTTCAGTCTATTGATCATACTTGTACAAACACTCTTGACTCTATTACATCTGTTTCAGTTGATGCCAATAATAGTTCCATTATTGATAATAATAGCTGCTTGTTATGGCATAACAGACTTGATCATCTATCTTTTCATAAATTATCTCAGTTACCTGTTTCCATGTCTAACTGTGATGCATACAAACATAAGCCTTGTGATGTGTGTCATTTTTCAAGACAGAAAAGATTACCATTTCCTGACAGCACTACTCATGCATCATTTCCTTTTGAGTTAGCTCATTGTGATGTATGGGGACCTTTCTCCATACCTTCTCACTCTGGTCACAAATATTTTTTAACTGTTGTTGATGACAATAGTAGATGTACACGGATATATCCTCTTACATACAAATCTGACACCAAGTCTGCTCTCATTCATTTTTCAAATATGGTCCAAACTCAGTTCAATTGTAAAATAAAATCTATTAGAACTGACAATGGCACTGAGTTCATATTATCTGATTTCTATTCTGCTCATGGCATCATTCATCAAGTTTCATGTGTAGAAACACCACAACAAAATGCTAGAGTGGAAAGAAAACATCAACATCTCTTACAAGTTGCTAGAGCCATACTTTTTCATGCCAATTTACCTATCATGTTTTGGATTGATTGCATCATGGTAGCTGCTCATATTATCAATAGGAATCCTTCACCTGTTTTACAAAACAAATCTCCATACTTTGTTTTATATAAGAAGGAACCTGATTTCAGTCATTTGAAAGTCATAGGGTGTTTATGTTATTCATCCACATTGCAAGCAAACAGATCTGAATTTGCACCTAGAGCTCTAAATGCATTCTTCTTGGTTATCCATTAGGTTGTAAGGGTTATAAGCTCTACAATCTGGAAACCAAGAAAACAGTTATTTCCAGGCATGTGATATTTTATGAAGATGTGTTCCCCTTCAAAACCAATATAAACTTACCTGATTCTACTCCTGTTTCAGATATCATTGAACCTATGTTTCCACCATCTTCTCATATACTATCTGATGACATCACCACTCAACCACCTATTCCTCAACTACCTATTCCTCAACTACCTATTCCTCAACAAACACCTCACACATCAGACATCACACCTCATACATCTCATTCTCAACCAACTCAGTCCACTGAGCCTGAGCATACATCAACTCATACTTCTCCAATTGTCAGGAGGTCCACCAGACAGAAATCTTTACCTTCTTATCTCAATCAATATCAACATTCTTTGCCTTCTTCCCATTCTGTTCAAACAGGGACACATATCACATTGCCTGGTACACCCCATGACATTCATGATTTTATATCCTCTGAAAATCATTCAAAATCCCATAATTGTTTTACAGCCTCTATTTCTAAAATTACAGAACCCAAGACATACAAACAATCTTTTCAAAATCCATTATGGCAAGAAGCCATGCAAAAAGAAATTTCAGCTTTAGAGAAAACAAACACTTGGGTTCTGACTGATTTACCCAAAAATAAACATTGCATTGGCTGTAAATGGGTTTACAAGGTTAAATATAAATCTGATGGGACAATAGAAAGATATAAGGCTAGATTAGTAGCCAAAGGCTATACCCAAGAGGAGGGTATAGACTATTTTGATACATTTTCTCCAGTTGCAAAAATCACTACTGTCAGGCTATTACTTGCACTTGCATCCATTAAACATTGGCATTTGCATCAATTAGATGTTAATAATGCTTTCTTGCATGGTGACTTAGATGAGGAAGTCTATATGACTCCTCCTCCAGGGTATTCTGTTGACAATAAGGTCTGCAAACTTCAAAAGAGTCTATATGGTTTAAAGCAGGCCTCAAGGCAATGGTTTCAAAAATTGACATCTTGCTTGCTTGATTTTGGTTATATCCAGTCTATTGCTGATTGTTCTTTATTTACCAAGTCTTCTGATAATTCTTTTACTGCCCTGTTAATATATGTTGATGATATCATCTTGACTGGCAATAATATGTCTGAAATCAACTCTGTTAAGTCCCATTTAGATAAATGCTTTACAATCAAAGATTTGGGACAACTTAAGTATATACTTGGTTTGGAAATTGCACATTCTGAAAAGGGTATTAATGTTTGCCAAAGAAAATATGCTCTTGACATTTTAAAAGATACTGGGTACATTGGTTGCAAACCATCCAACACACCAATGGACAGTACTTTAAAATTAACCTCAAATTCTTCTTCTGATTTGGTTGATGCTACTTCATATAGAAGGCTAGTGGGTAGGCTATTATATTTGACAATAACTAGGCCTGATATATCATTCAGTGTCCAATGTTTGAGTCAATTTATGTCTCAGCCTAGACAGGACCATCTGCAAGCTGCATATAAGGTACTCAGGTATGTCAAATCCACAGTTGGAGCAGGTATTTTCTATCCCAGAACTTCTAAACTTCAACTTCATGCCTATAGTGATAGTGATTGGGCCGGTTGCATTGAAACTAGAAAGAGTATAACAGGATATTGTGTTTTCTTAGGTAGTTCTCTAGTTTCCTGGAAATCTAAGAAACAAAACGCTATAAGCAGATCCTCTGCAGAGGCAGAGTATAGGGCTTTAGCCTCCACTGCATGTGAAACACAATGGCTGTTATACTTGCTGAAAGATTTTCACTGTTCTCATGATTTTCCTGTCTGCATTTTCTCATATAGTAAGTCAGCTATTAGCATTGCTCAAAACCCAGTTTTCCATGAAAGGACGAAGCATATAGAGATTGATTGCCACCTCATCCGGGAGAAGATAGCTAAAGGGATCATCAACCTTGAATTTGTCTCCTCTTCAGATCAGGCTGCAGACATTCTCACAAAGCCATTATCCAATCAAAGGTTCAAGTCCAATATTTCCAAGCTGAGCATGATGAATATTCATGCTCCCTTTGCGGGGGGTATTAGATAAAGATATATTAATTAGCCTTTTATATTGAAATATATTTTCAACTTTATATGTAAAAGTGTTACTTTGTGAATAACACTTTATGTTGTATAGGGATAGTATAAATAGACTGTATTAGGGTTTGGTCTTCACTTTTGGCTTTTGGTTTTCTCTCTCATGTACAGACGCTCCTCCTTCCCTCTCTCTCTAATCGTTCATCTTCAATAAGATTTTTCTAGTTTTTCACATCTAATATATACCATGCTGGTATACTACACGAATCTTTTTTTTTTTTAAAAAAAAATGAAATTTTAAGAATAAAAAAAGTCCAATTATTCATGTTGTTACTGTTAAAGTGCAAACAATGTACAATAAATAAATTTATCAATAAATATATTTTTTATTACGTTAAGGGTGTGATTAGTTGGAGTGATAAGGATTGATATCACACATATTTCTAATATTTCTTACCTATATTACTGTTTGGTTCAAATATGTTAAGCCCTTGAATTAGCCAAAGTCCGGTTTTTATCACACATTTTCACTATATCATATCCCACCTCCTGCAATGGTTGTGTAATACCTTATATTTTTTATTCAAAATTTCCGTAAATACTCAACTTTTTTCTTTTTGTTTTGTTTCGATTATTTGGGGGTGTTTTCTTCTGCAAGTGACGACGAAGATGGGGGAGCTCTGGGTGGCGAATCCAAAAGCAACGACTAGTCGAGGAGGCGCGCGAGGGTCTCGGGTCTGTTGGAGATCTCGTCCGCCGCCTGACCTGGGTTCGATTAAGGTGGAGTTCGACAACGGCGGAGGAACAAGTTATAAAACGAAAAAAAA